CACTCTCTGAGGGGTTACCATTAGAAACTGGCCACCGTTTGGACTTTGTATTGCTGATCACAACCTGGCAGTCCAGACAATTTTTCACCAACCTTATCCAATCTGTGTCCTTTCAAAGTGGCTATAAGGATACCATGGGATGCTGTGCCAAAGGCCTTAAACTCAGGGTGTGCACCACTCCCTGCTCTCCCCTTATCCACACAGCTAGTCTCATTGGAGAAGGCCATCAGGATGGCACAGCGTAGTTGCCCCTGGTAAATCCACACTGGCTGTTTCCAATTACAAGAGTCTTTCTGGGAGGATTTATTCAACGACCTTCCCAGTGACTGAGAGGAGGCTGAGGGGTTCCCCAGATCCTCCTCCCAGAAGATGTATGGTGTTTGCCGCCTTTTGCCAGTCCTCTGGAACCACCCATGATCACTGCCGTCTTTGGAAGATGATGGAGATACCCTTTGCGGTGACATTGGCCAGCTCCATCAGCATGCTCAGATGCATCCCACCTGATCCCATGGACCTGTGTATTTCCAGTTGATTTAAGTACACCCAAAGCCTACACCCCTCTCCACGGGTAGTGTATCATGCCACTGGCCTCTGCCTGGAGGGCACTGGGAGGCCAAGGACAGACTTTACCAGTGATCACCAAGACGAAAGAAGAAATGGAAACCTTAGCTTTTGCCGTGTGCCTGGTCACTAGAGCTCCTGCCCCACTGAGCAGTGGGACCACAGCTTCCCTGGCCATCCTTAAGCTCTTTTGTACTTAGGGCAGCCCATCCTGCTGTCCCACACACCGCTCCAGTTGAGCTCTGGCTCTCCCAGCTCCTCCCTGGGAGCTTGGGCAATGTGTCTGTGTTCTCCCAGAGCCCGGGGAACACAGCTCTCTGCTCCCACCTCCCTTCCCACATTTCTGCGTGGGATTTGGGATGAGTTGAACTGGAGAAGTGATTTAGATATGGCCGGTACTTTAAGTGTGGTCCTTGTGTAGGTATTTCTGCAACAAGGACTTCACCAATTTGTATGGACTTTGCTGTGAGCAAATCACTGAGTGAAAGGAGAAATGAGGAGTCAATTCCCCTGTTGTTAACATGTTGTAAATTAGGAGTAACTGAGCATTAAGATTATGGACTTTTATTCTGGCTTTGCTGTTGTCATCTCCAGACAGAAAAGCCTCATCAGACCTGGAGCTTTCACAGGAACGGGCTGTGTTGGAGCACGTGTCCCAGCCCATCGGGCAGGGCTGCTCTTCTGGCCACGGTCCTACTGTACCCGGTGGTGCTGGCCTCTTCCGCAGGGGCATGAGTCTGTCCCTCAGTGGCTGTCCCAAACTCCACAAGCCTGCAGCAAACCGGTCCCAGGGGCAGCCTGCCTGCTGGGCTGCTGCTGCACCAAGGAAAAGGTGTTCTCATGTTCTGAATTCCTTACGTGAAAACCGCTCTGTTCATCCCCATTTCACAGCAGCACCCTGCCTCGGTCAGCTCACCAGCAGCGGACAGATATGGGGGTCTTTGGGCTCACAGCTCCCAAGCGCATCTCCAGCCCAGAAGTGTTGCCGGTGATGCGGGTTCCCAGACATCTCGACAGTATTTTCCATGCTTCTCTAAGTATCAAATTTTGAGTTTGTCGCAGAGCAAAAGCTGCTATTTACATTCTTCCAAATGTCAGTACTTTCGATCCTTGTTATTCAGAATAGCTTTTGCTCTAGCTGCTTTTGGGTTTGGTTTATCTAGCCAGTGCGGTGGAAACATTCACCTCGCTTGGACTAGTTCAAACAGGGAAACAAACCCAGGGGTGGGATCTCTGCTCCCCCGCAACCCAGACAGGCTCAGCAGATAGGCTGGCACCCCCCCTGCCGGACTCCCCCAAGGGATGAGCGCTTCAGAAATGTCTTTCTCTTAATTAAAAACATTAAAGGCCATGGTCCCAGGTTTCAGTGTATGATTGGGGGGGGGGGGTCTCAAAGCCCCCTGTGGGTACCCAGAGCTGTATGAGCTCTTTGGAAATCCAGCTCGGTGGTTCGTCAAACTGGGCTTCTTTCCTCACATTTGGGGAGTGAAAAGTGAAACAACCCCATTTCCTAACTTTAGTTAATATTTTCTGTTTAATGAGCTTCTTTCAAATGCAAGGTACATTTTGATATGCTTCTTATTTACTCTAAATATTCAGGTAGTTTTATGTGATGACTGAAAGCCATTTAAAATACTTTTTCCAGCGCTTTTTGCATGAAACTCCCTGTTCCTTCAAAAATCAAATGCATTTTGTAGACATGTGGGATGCCTGTGGGAACATAAAATAACAATCTGACACAATAAACACTAAGTTAAATAACTTCTTAAGTAAAAGAGGTATAGTGTGGTATAGTGATTAGCAGAAAGGGGTGTCATTCAACACCCAGGCTATATTTGGCTGCAGATCAACATATGTTGATGCTTCTCAGCTGAATGAAAATGAACAGGATTTTAGGAAAACAATTTTGAAAAGGCAGAAGAGTCGCTTGGATGGCACATCGTATCTTTGCTGGATTTCAAGCCGTGATGCTTAGGAGTTGTTTTGACCTTGCTTTGGGCTGGGCACCCCTCGAGCAGAGGCCGCCTTCTGAAGCTGGAGCTGCCGGGGGCCTTTTGTGTGAGGTTTGCCAGCGGAGGAGGAATAAGATGAGCTGAGTCTGAGGCTCTGCCATAAATACCAAGCTGCTGCTTGCTTAGAATAGCTGCAAAGCAAACACAAGTATATCTTCAAGATGTCTCCAGTGCCGTCTCCTGGAGGTAGGGATGTGTTGGCTGGGACTGCTCCGGGTGTACCAACACACAGTAGGAGCATCTGAGCGCTGGTGTGCACCAGGCACATCTGACCCTGCAGAGATGCTGCGTTGCACCAGCCGGCCCCTGCAGGGGCTTTGAGAGCTGCTCCGGCTCAGCAGGGCTGGATGCAGCCCTTTGCTTCGGCTCTCTGTGAGCTGTAACTCTCTAAGGGCAAGCTCGGGCCATGCTGGTAGCCCTGAAAGTCCCAGGGGGATCACTCATCAGGAGTTTCTTCATTGTGTCAGTCTTTCTGTGTCTTCTTTCTGATCCTTTCTGAATATCCTCTTTTCCTATCCCTTTTCCATTGCCTCCTCTCCTTTTACCTTCCACCATTTCTCCATATCGCCTGTTGCTCCCTGTTCCCTGGGCTGGGCTGCACCAGCAGTTGGGGGAGCACTTCTTTCACCTACAGCGGTACCGTTGGCTGGTCCCAGCTTGCGAGTGCCTGTTGTGTGTGAGAGTGATGCCAAGTGCCCAGGATGGGTGTGTGAGACGTGGCCGGTCCCATCAGTCACGTGCCGTTGCTTCTGCTGTATGGTTGAAGAAGGGCACAAGCGTTTCTTTCTTGACATGGTGTTGGGTTTGGCTTCACTTGAGACTTGTGCACCGTATTTGCTTTCTCTGGAAAGGGAGGCTTTCAGCCCTGCAGAGAAGGACTGGGGGATACAGGTGGGTGACAAATGGGACATCAGCCGGCAAGGTGCACTTGCAGCCCAGAAAGCCAAGCGTCTCCTGGGCTGCATCACCAGCAGCATGGCCAGCAGGTCGAGGGAGGGGATGCTCCCCCTCTGCTCCGCTCTCCTGAGACCCCCCTGGAGCACTGCGCCCAGCTCTGGGGGCCCCAGCACAAGGCAACGCTTTTAAACCGAACGAGGCTGGGGTTAGGTTGGACATCGGGAAGAAATGTCGTACCATGAGGGGGGTGAGGCCCTGGCACAGGTTGCCCAGAGAAGCTGTGGCTGCCCCTGGCTCCCTGGCAGTGGTCAAGGCCAGGTTGGATGGGGCTTTGGACAGCCTGGGCTGGGGGAAGATGTCCCTGCCCATGGCCTCTCAGGGGTTGGACTGGATGATCTTTGGAGGTCCCTTCCAGCCCAAACCGTTCTGTGAGTCCATGATACTATGAAACTCAATTTCTGGCACATTGGGGAAATGGTTCATTCTAGAGACAGAAGTGTTTCAATGAAGGATGCACGTGATGCTCTGTCCTGACCTTCCTGGAACATCTTCAGGGCTGTTTGCTGTGCTAAGCCTGGCAGGTAGATCAGACAGCAAGTCATGCCCCAGGGTGGGTGCTCACACAGGGGTGAGCTTCCCCCTGGGGGCAGCCGCCAGCACTGGGGACGTCA